CACGACGCTATCCGAAATCTGTGACGAGATAGGAAATAGCTGTCAATTGACGGTAACTCGTGCACGCCGCATTTCTGTCCCCGGGTTCGCTACTTTGTGTCAACTCTTCGCACTCGAGAGGCGACTCTCGGTCGCCATTTGTCAAAATTGTAACAATCCGTCTATGGTACTTTGAAGTTAACAGTGATTTAATTAACCGTGAACCGCGAAATTTAATTTTAGTGACAACGGATCAAGTATGGACGAAAAGTCACCAATGACAATTCCGATTCAAAATACCCGCGTTCGACTGCGTTTTTCCAAATGAAACTCGCAGCGATTCTTGATGTAAAGCTTCGAATAAAGAGTGAGATAACTGGACCAGTTGGCTAGCTTCCTCGTTAGCCCGATAATCGGCGAGCGCGGGCTAGACTCTGTCAAAACGCATGGCTGCCAGGATCTCCGTCGTTTTCCGCGAAGAGTTTGCGAAAAAGAGGGAAACACGGTGGAAATAATAGAGCGGCGAGAAAGGAGACAGGAAATATGAAAATCAATCCCCGATACGCGAGCATTGTTCGTTCCATTTGTTGATCAGGCGCGGCTGGTTAATCGTCGCGAGATAAACCCGCCTTTTTACCCTGGCCACGAAGAGTGGAGCGCGCGAACACACAATCATCGATCTCCGGCGCGGACTTTGTACGGTTCGATGTCTGAACAGCGAGTTGTGTATCGCGGCCGTGGTGGAAAAATGAAAATCACGAGCGGCTGCATCGCGGCTAAAAGCTGCCACGCCGAGGCTTCTGGCCTGCTCCGCCAGTCGGAACGCGGTTATTTAAATATAGCCGCGGATTTTCTTTTCCGCCAGCGAGCAGAGTCGCCTCCGTGCTCGCGTCTGCTCGCCATCGATCTGTCCTTGCGTTCCTCGTCCTCCGCTCGGCAGCATTTTGGGCCAGCCGTTGCGTAAGCCGCGCTGTCAACGACGCCGACACGAGCAGGAGGATCGTCATCCGCGGAGACCGCGATGTCGCGCGACGCCGATGACGCACGATGTCTTCGTACCTCTGTCTGACAGCCTTGAACTTCGACTCGGAGCGTGTCATTGTCCGAATTGAATTATTTCCCGGCTACAATTCGCCATCGTGTGCCAAGGTGTCAATCCTTTGTTCACCGACTCGTTTTCATTTCTCTCACGGACGGGTTTCAGTCGAGCTTAAAACGTCGCAGGCAGGCTTTCGATCGTCCACTCTGCTAGGTTTCCTCTCCTTGCTCGTCACTTGGCACGTCTGTAAACGTTACGGCACGATAGGGTGAGGTGACGTGAAATTATTCGATTCAGAGTCACGAGGGCTTGGCGCGTTAAAAATACCCGATTCGCACGATCAACTTTCGCACGATAGAGCGCGAGTACCTCGGGAAATGCTATCACCGCGGTTATGCTCACGCATCCGGCGGTTGCAGTGACACCAGGTCTCCCTAGAGGAAAGAGAACCATCTGCTTTCGTGTATAGACGAGAGAGGGTCGTCTGCCACGTGTTCGCGAAGTAACGAGAATTTCGACGAAAGCCACTTCAGCTTTGCCATTTCACCCATGCATCGTTTCATCCGGGAATGGTCGTACCCGAGTTCTATGTTGTACTGACGTTGTCGGTCGTTTCCAGGTAACAATGCAGGAGGAAGATCGTCAGCGGTGACAGGTTCGGTTCAAAGGAGCACCGTCACGTCGAGCAACCGCGCGCACTCCGCGTCTAGAAGAATCAGCCATCAGCAGCGTCAGCAGCAGCAGCAGCAGCAGCAGCAACAGCAGCAGCAGCAACAGCAGCAGCAGCAGCAACAGCAGCAGCAGCAAACACAGTCACAGCAACAACCACAGCCTAGGATACCTTTGGGATCCTTACGAAACTCGGATGAGCACGGGTCGAGGGCCAACTCGGCACAGGAGAGTTGCGATAACTCGAACGATTCTGGCCTCGGCTTCGAGGAACGTCAGCAACACCTCACGAACGCAAACGTTAGTGAAATGCACCTGTACGATAGGGTCGGATAGGTTTGAGACCACCCTCGTCGTCGTAACTCGTCGAAAGGAACAATGGTCGCGATATAGGCAGCTCTCGACGATGGGCCGATGTCGACGTTGAACCCTTTGAACCATGTACACATCCACGTAGAAACTCGTACCGATAAAGTAACGAAGAAAGATCGAGCATTGCCGGCGAAAGATTTAATCGTTCATTGATGCGGAAAGGGATTAAGACGAGCTAACCGTCGGCCACTTGAAATTTTGTGTACACGACATTCTGCGTGTTGTTGAACTTTGAATGAAGTGCGAAACGAGAGTGGAATTATCGTAAATAGTGTGTTGATTGTATCATTCACGGTTTTGTGTTAAATCGGTCCGGCATCGACGCCTGGGCAGACTAGTATATTTTGGGAATCGCGGAACACGAAAACAATGGTTAAAAAAAGACGAAGGAGTCGGTAATGGACGATGCTTTAATTCCCATCGGGACTTGGTAGTTGCAACGAAGCGGATAGGGTGATCTCAAACTTGGAATGGCCGACGAACGCGGTTAGACCTTGTGTACGCGTCTGGCAAGCTATTGTAACTCGAAATGAAACGCAATGCTATGTAAATCGGCGGATTGTGGAAGCAGATACAAGTGGAAACAGAGTCTGTCATACACCGTCGAATATTTCTAGTAGTAAAAAGAGATGCGCGTTTATCGCGTGTTAACGTTTTGTTTATATATCGCTGCGGGTTATCGTGAGCGTGACAAAAGCGAGCGGCAGAAGCAACGACTACGGTGTTATCGACGATTATCGTCGCGAAATTGCGTTACATTTGCGCCGTTGTCGAGCCACATATATTGTTGCTCTAGCCTGCGAATTTTCCCGACTGTCGTGCGTTTCATGGGAAAACCTGGCGGGGCAGAGGGGAAGAGCTTTGAGTTCCATCCGGTGGCGTAACGCGGAGTCGCGAAGGTGGAGGAAGAAGATCTCGAACTGGCGACTCTGTTGTCTCGACATTATTTTTATCCCGTGCGTGTGCAACACGCGCCGATCCAGTCAACGTCCTACTAAAAGAAATATTGTGAAACTATCGGAAACGTGCAGCGGTATCTGCGAAGATACCCGAAAGAAATCGCTTTTCTTCTTTTTGTCTTTCCCCGTCCTCCTCTTCGTTTTCGCCGCTTTTATCCTCGCTTCACCCGGGTTTTATCGCGTTGCACAAACACGCGTGTTCCGCGGCGAGTAGAGAGCTTTGATTGATATCGATACATGCAATGATAACTTATTCTCGGCCTGCCTGTTGCGTAACAACGCGATATATGGATAACGAAGCACGGCCACGTTTGCGTACGTTACTAGGCTATAAGCAAGGCTCGCGCGGATTAAGCGTTTTAACAATGCGCCGCTTACAACGCGGCCGCGATATAGTCCCGGATAATTGAGTAAATATTACGAGTCGGTTTAGCGGTTGATATTGACCCAAAGTAAGAGCGGCCGATTTCAGATACCGGATTGAACCGCGTACGATAGCCACTTTCGATCGTTAAGCCTACCTAGCGTAATAAAACCGGACGAAACGGGCGAGGCGAGGAAGATATCTATACCATTAACGTACCATTAACGCAGTTGCGCGATTCGGACCCTTTTATAGCACTGTCCACGTGTACGCCACGTTGCTCGCGTGCCCTCTACATCAACGAGACATCCTGCTCGTTCCAAAGCCGTAGAACCCAACATCGAGAAGCTTGCCAAGCACCCCGTCATCGTCTTACCCTCGTCCTCTACCCTATTCCCGCCGTCGAAATGGCCGCCACGTCGAGCCCCGAAAACGTTTCCCAAGAGGGCTCTCTGCCTCTTGGTGCCACGATCGAAGCCCGTGAAGCTCTTCCCCTTCTGAAGTGACGCCACTCGCTAACGTGCACGTGCAAGCGAAATCTAATGCGATCACGCGTAGCTGCCAGCACGGGTCGGTTGTCGTTGATTCGACGGCGACACTGACCGGTCTCTAACGGTAGTTGAACCCGGTCGATCAGCAGTTTGATTCGTTAAATTGACCGGGCCGGGTAGATTGCACGCACGCATACGCATGCCACTACATCAATCCGTTCTGTTGCTTAACAGGCTTGGAACGGCGCCGGCGAGGAGGACTCGAAGAGGAGGAAGATGGACATCAAGCTCGAGTCCGAGGACGCGAACTTCGCTTTTCCCGAGGTTGCACACGCGACCAGCACCGATAGCAAGACAGCCAGCAGAGGCACGTCGAACGGAATAGGCGGATTGGCCACGATCTCCGGGAACAGGACAGGAAATGGAAGCTCGGGGCGGGTGGTCGAGGTCTCGAGATCTCGTCCAGGCTTGGGTGTCTTGGCAAAGAGAACGTCGGCTACTCAGCAGGGTCCAGTCACCCTAACCTCTCAACTGTGTACGTGCATGACACGCGTTTGCTACCGTTCTTTTCCCCCTCGTCTTCCATCGGTAGGATTCGATGAGTCCCTGTGGCATGATCTCTGTCGTTAACCCTTTTCGTTTTATCGAAACGTCGAAACGATGCGGTATATGGGTTTATCGATCTCTCGTCGAGAGAGCAAACTGCTGCTGCTCTTTCGGCAGACGGGTTTGAAAATTTATTGCCGTTGATATTGCGGTTTTTTGGTGGAGATAATACCAGTCGCGAGGTCTGCGCGAGGTCACGAGACAGAGATAACGCAGCTCTCGTCGTCGTCGGCCACAGATGTTCTTGAATTTCTCGAGAAAGAAGAATTTACGAGGGAATTTTGGGGGGACAGGGCCGTCGTCAAAGCGATCAGTGCGCGCCGTCTCGTGTTTATATTGTCGGGCGCGTGTTAATTGTAATTTTTAGCGGAGACGCGAGTTCGCGTTCTTAGATAAATTACCGTGGAGTAATTCGCGCGTGGAGATTCATGCTTGTTTGCATGTGGATCTGACCGATAGAGAGAGAGAGTGAGAGAGTGAGAAAGGGAAAGAAGGGGAAAGAAAGAGGAAGAAAGTGGGAGATTGGCGACGACAAATTTTGTGGTTGATCTTAGAGGATGATGTAAATCGATAACCTTCGGCTCGCACACTATCGGCCATATTGTTGCTCGCTTGTTTGACCAACGACTAGTTTGATAAAGTCTATTTCCGGCGAAATTTTTCACCTCTCGTCACACTTTTACCGCAACGATACGCTATCTCCGTTGTTCAGGCACCATTTTGTACCCGGTTAAAATAAATCGTCGATACTCTTTCGTTGATATCAAAATACGATATCGAATGTAGGTCAAACGAAAGTTTATGTAACTTCTACACATTGTTTCCCCTCTCTTATTAAATTGAGAGCTCGACCCTTCTTTTCTCTCGCGCTGGCTCCTCGTTGCTACGCGTCTGCTCCATTCCTTCAGTTGGATGAAATATAATTATAACAGCGCTATCCGCGAATGGCGCGCGTTACACAATTCTATCTCTTCAGTTCGAGAAATCAGCGAACTTTTATGACGAGCAATCGTATTTATTGATACGCATTTTTCTCGACATCATTCACCGTTTCTATATCCTGATAACTGTACCAGAGAAAGATAGCGAGACACTTTGATGCGTGAAATTCGAGCTCGGACGAGCTTGCTAGATTCCAAGTCCAATGCGTACGTTTTAATGTAGTCTCTTCGTACAACTTGCAGGTAGTGCTTCCGCGGATGGAAAGGTGCAATTGCAAATTATCTGTCAACCCGAGCAGCAGCACAGAGCTCGTTACCAAACGGAAGGCTCGAGAGGAGCGGTAAAGGATCGGACAGGAAATGGATTCCCGATCGTACGACTGGTCGGTTACGACAAACCGACTACTCTTCAAGTTTTCATCGGCACGGACCTCGGTCGTGTCGCGCCTCACATGTTTTATCAAGCCTGCCGTGTTAGCGGCAAGAACTCGACGCCGTGCATCGAACGCAAAATCGATGGCACCATCGTGATCGAGGTCGATATGGATCCAACGAAAGACATGATGGTCACGTGCGACTGCGTCGGTATTCTGAAGGAACGGAACGTCGACGTGGAGCACAGATTCCCCCAGGAAGCCGGAGTCCTTCAGGGACGCAGTAAAAAGAAGTCCACTCGTTGTCGCATGGTTTTCCGGACGATGATCACTCATCCGGACGGGACAACGGAAACTTTGCAAGTTTGTTCCCAACAGATAGTTTGCAGTAAATATCACAATCGTATTCTTGCATTTTTTAATTCAGAATTAACGATATTACGATTATATTTCATCGATCTGACCGATTACTTGCAGCTCAACCACCGGGCATACCGGAGATCTGCAAGAAATCACTCACGTCGTGTCCATGCACCGGAGGTTTAGAATTATTTATACTTGGAAAGAACTTTCTGAAAGATACTCGCGTAGTGTTTCAACTAGACAACGATGATCTATCGAGCAGCTTGGAACCGCACTGGGAATGCGCGGTTCTACCTGACAAGGAGTTTCTTCAACAAACGCATCTGGTTTGCGTCGTACCTGCGTACAGGCGGCAAGATCTGGCACCCTCGGAAACGGTTAGCGTAAAATTGTACGCGCTATCGTCTGGAAAAACGAGCGAACCCCACACATTTTTGTATACTGCTGTGTCTACGCCCCCTGAGCCATCGGTGGGAAAGGTCGAGCCGATAACTCCACCTTTATCCACCACCAACGGCGAAACTGCGTTAGCAACGTCTCCTACAGCGGTGTCTTTGACTACAGGTGTATCATCGAGCAGTAAGTAAATCTTTTATCTTCGAACGCGAGATAATACTGTAGACTACTCGAAATAATGCATTTATACGACTAAAAGGGCAAAGGGAAAGTACTCGAATGAAGATAGTATAAGTAGTAAATGATGCTAGACGTTTATACGACGTTGTGATTTTTGCAGCTTTGATTACACAAGGAGCCGCAGGAACGCCGAACTTCTTGACGACTATACAGCCACAACAGTCAACGTCCCAAACAGCAGAAACTCTTAAGAGCGATCCGAGTCCACCACCGGTGACGGCATCCTCTCAGGTGACACCAGTCATGATGTGGGCTGCTCAGAGCCCTAATTGCCAAAATTCACCACCTGACGTGATGATGCCACCACCTGCTTTGGTAGCGAATCCGCTCATAAATCGCAGATCGTCTTCGAATCTTCAATTAATCTTACCAGATAATTTGAAGACAGAGGTTCTAGATGAGAACAGTGAAAATAGCATGATTAGCGAAAATAGTATGCAAAGCATACCAACACCGACTGCGAATGGTTCGTCGGGCACCAGTCCGTTGCAACAGCTCGTGAGCGAGAACTCAAGGGAGACACCTCAGGCTAATATAATCAGATCGGTGCCTGTAGCAGCGAACAGTTCGCCTGTGCAGGAAGCAGTCAATCTTCTCGGTGTGGTAGATCTAATGCGAAACCAGCATCCATTGTCCATGGTATCGACACACCAAAACACCTTCGGAGGTATGCACGAACCATCTCAAGTCAAAGTTCTAAGTCCTCATCATATCAACAAAGAAACTAACTCGATGTTGCCAGCAGAAGGTAGTCCTAACGGAAGTCTTCAGGGTGGTGGCGTTGTTGATCTTCGTATGAAACATCACCAGTCGGAGTTCGGCACACTGTCAAATTTTACCGCCCCGACAAATGGACAACTGCCTGCACAGAGTGGTCATAGCGTAGAAAAATACCTTAACCATATCGAATCTAACGTCAAAGAGGCTGAAAATCAAGAGAATGGATTTGTAGGTACTATACAACAACGAGCTTCCATTATTACTACAGGACGGCCGCCTCAACAAGGACAAGCTTCCAATATTTTAGCTTCTCCCCCTCAAGGCGTCAAGTTAGATACTCTCGTTAACTCTGGCGCTGAATCTCATCAGTTGGTTTCGCCACTACGTACCGTGAATCCCAATAACAATACCATAATGAGTCATGTTTCCGCAGTCACTGATCACGAAACGATCTCGAGCCCCCAACAAAATAGAACTAGCCCGCCTATTCCGGTCAAGACCATTCTCGAAGCGTTGATGCCTCCTCAAACCGTGCCGCCATTGCCGGGAAACGGTGCAACGTCCGTTTCATCGCCCACATCGGTCGTCCCAGAGCAGGCAAATGGCGACAGTTTACTCACTACTATCAATGCTGCGCTTTTGCCGCCGATGCAAGAGTCTCCCGTGACTGCGACCGGTACGTCCAATACGACTGTTGGTGTATCACCTCATAATCCATTACAAGTTACGAATGAGAGTATATCGACAGCGGCGGAGCATATTCCTCAGATACCGGGCCTTATACAGCCAGATGTCGTAGCAATGCAACAAGCGCAACAAGTGGAACAAGTTGTCGCGCAAGCACAACAGCAAGTTGAACAGGTTGTTGCTCAGGCGCAACAGCAAGCGGTACAAGCTGTACAGCAAGCGCAACAGCAGGTTGTTCAACATGTGGTACAGCATGCGCAAGTTGTCCAGCAGGCTGTACAACAGGCACAAGCGGTACAACAAGTTCAAGCTGTACCGGCTGTTCAACAGGCTGTACAGCAAGCTACGCAGGAAGTGGTGCAGCAAGCAGTGCAGCAAGCTACACAGGAAGTGGTGCAACAAGTTCAAGCGGTTCAACAGGCAGTGCAGCAAGCTCAAGCTGCTCAAGCGATGCAACAGGCAGTGCAACAAGATATCGGTTCTATGTTGAATCAGCCAGCAGGTTTTGTTGCTGAAGCTAGTTCTGCTTTAGCGAGTGGAGCAGCTCAGGAACCATCGCAGCAGAGGTTAACTAACGCTGCGGAACAAGCGATTAATAATGTAATTACTAATGCTACTCAGGATATTATTAATAATCGACCCATTACTACAACAACCGCGCATGCCATAATAGCAACGAAAAATATATTAAATAGTGTAGCTACGCAAAGTGCGCAATTAATGAACAGTGCTATGGAGGGAATTTTACCTAAATCTCCTTCTGGCCAGAATAATATCGTTGAACAGGTGGCGAGCAAGTCACCACCGGTTGCCTTACCTGTGACACCCAATAGACAAAATGTAAACCCACCTATAACAAATACGGCAAACAGTGCAAATGGTACAACGGTTAGAAAGCAGGAAGACGGTATGTTGCCTCAAGAGCTTACCTCGATGTCGGAGCATGATCTGTTGAGCTACATAAATCCGAGCTGCTTCGATCCTCAAAACGGTTTTCTTATGTAGTACTGCCGTATTCTTGTCATTAAAATATAATTTTGTATTCGATCTACTTTCGAATACAGAGAGCGAGCGAGAGAGAGAGAGAGAAAGAGAGGGAGAGAGAGAGAGCGTGAACGAACGAACGAACGAACGAACGATCGAGAATAATTAATTCCAACCAGTTGAGTATGAGAGATATAGTCTTGGCTCGGTACGAGTTATATATTTGTGCCACATTGTCGTTTCAGACTTTGTATGTGATAGATATGAAATCCGTTTTTATATAATGAAAATGGACGAAGTTAGCACCACCTTTGTAACAATTGAAATCTTTTATCGTGTTAAGTAAGACGGGCGCATGAGAGCGCGACAATTAGGGTTTTCTTTATCTTCCTTTTTCTACGAGTTGTCGAATGTGATAATTCATTTTATTTATCTCCATCAAAAGTCTCTTGCGCATCCAGGTGCCTTTTCCCTATTGTAAAGTATCTGAGATTGATCTTTCTCGTTGCAGAAAAGGAGCATCGTAAATACGATACGCGTGTATATGTATTGTAATAATCAACACTGTACTGACCCCACTCAACTCTAAGTGGAGCCACGGGAATTGAGTGTAGTAAAAAGTTACGTTTTTCACAGTACCTTGAAGTAGAATCCTATGAGAGTTCATTAATACATTAATGCATCTTTTTTCTTGACTTGATTTCATTCTAACAAATGAATCATCTTGTTGTTTGATGTCGTTTCTATTATATATGTTTTTAAGTATAATATATTTCATATGTTGTTTAATAATTAAATTTTTTTGTTGATAATTAATACCAATTAATAGAATATTATGTGATGGCGTTGATGATGTTATCGATAATTGCTAGACAAATACAAAACGACAGAGAGATTATATTATATGTATGTACGAAGAATAATTATTATAGAAATATATATCATTGAGATTTATATATATATATATGTATATATA